GCTCCCCGGTGACAGGCGTGGGAAATATATCTCTCTCTCTCTCTCTCTCTCTCTCTCTCTCTCTCTCTCTGCCAAAAAACAAATGGTGCATCCATGGCTGGTCAGAACCAACAACTTCTTTGGACAAAATTGGCCCTCTGTTGACTGTGGCCCAAATCTGTCACTTCCGTCAGTGCATTCAAGCTCCTCAAAGGAAGCAATCTTTATATTAATTCTGAATGTGGTCCCAGGGTGACGTTTTTTTTTTTAAAACCCCACACAATGGAGCCATAAACAGGTGGAGATATGTAGAATTCTATAAGCCCAGTTCTATAAGAACCTCAATGTCCACAGAAAAATCAGAAAAGATTTTTAAAGTTAAAAAACAACAACAACAAATAAACCAACCAGAGGCTTGCATCGACATCGCAACTGGAACAAAAATATGTGGATAGAGATGTTGTGCAGATCATGGTTGGCATTATAACCAGGCGTTTTTAAAGCAGCTAAGATCAGTCCAGGGGTGAGGGAGAAAGACAGAGTGGCAGCAGGAGAGCATCAGCGAGAGGAGGCCGTGATGGCGGCAGGGTGGAGAAAGGAGGAGGAGGAGGAGGAGAGGGTGGCGGCAGGCAGAGCGAGGTTGGTGAAAGCGGAGGGGTGGGTGGTGATGGTGGTGCAGGGGCAGAGAGAGAGAGAGAGAGAGAGAGAGAGCGTGGCGGGGGTGAGGCTGGATTTTCCCACAATTCCATGCAGGTGTGCCCTTTGCAGCCACCCTCCAGGGCTAGAGAGCAGCAGGTGCTGGGACTGCCCAGCCGGTGCTCTTGAACTGCCGAGGAGGGGACGGTTGCAAAGCCTCCCAGAGTACGATTGCATCAGCTGAGACAATATTGAGCAGCCTGCCCACGGACAGCCTTATCTGGGATTAGGGCACCTCAACAGCAAAACCCGCTCTGTTGACAGAGGCAGCAGTTCCCGCGGCCCACACCCGTTACCTCCAAGGGTCATCCCCGCTTCATAGCATTTTCGGAGGCGGCAGGAAGGGCAGTTTTTCCTTCTGAACTTATCAATGGTGCAGTCATTCCGGCTGGCGCAGAGGTATTTCTGTTTACCTTAACAAAAGAGAGAGAGAGGAAAGAATGAGTAGATAACAATGGTCCTTGTGTTGCTAGAACTGCCCTGAGTCAAGAAGAAAGACAGGGTATAAATATTTGAATAAATATAAGAACCTAAGAACATAAGAGAAGTCAATGTTGGATCAGACCAATGGCCCATACCAGGTGCCATCAGGAGGTCCAGCAGTGGGGCCAGGACACAAGGAGCCCCCCCACCATTGACCACCCCCCCCCCCAAGCACCAAGAATACAGAGCATCACTTGCCCCGGAGTCCCTATCTATACCTTGTGGCTAATAGCCACCGATGGACCTCTGCTCCATATGCTTACTAATTCCCTCTTGAAGCTGTCCATGCTTGTAGCTGTCCATGCCACCTCCTGTGGCAGTGAATTCCATGTGTTAATCACTCTTTGGGTGAAGAAGTACTTCCTTTTATCTGTTCTAACCCGACCGCTCAGCAATTTCATGGAGTGCCCATGAGTTTTTGTATTGTGAGCATCTTGTAAACCTCGATCATGTCACTCCTCAGCCGTCGTTTCTCCAAGCTAAAGAGCCGCAAGCACTTTAACCTTTCTTCATAGGGAAAGTGTTCCAACCCTTTTATCATTCTACTTGCCCTTTTCTGCACTTTTTACAAAGCTATAATATCCTTTTTAAGGTGTGGTGAACAAAACTGTACACAGTATTCCAAATGAGGTTGCATATAAGCTGCAGAAACATTCCTATTTATACAGCAAAGGTCATATGCGTTTTGAGATAATACAAATATTTCACCAGGGTAACCCAGATGCTGTGTTTAAAGCAAAATCCTTTGATCTATAAGATTATCCAGAGGAAGCAAATGTGTGTCTACCTATTCTGCATTTCCCTATTTCTGATGATGATGATGATGACGATGGGGGCAGGGCAAAGATGGAGAGTGGTCCCCACCACGTGGACATCCAGGCGATGACCGCTAAGACTCCCAGGGTGCAGGTGACTGCAATGGCATGTTTTATCATTATGGGATACAGAATCCTGCTTAATTGCTGTGCAACCCCTCCTGGGCCAGACTCCAGAAGAGACTCCTCAGAGGATGACCAGGAAGAGGCCGGGAACACCCGGGGCTAGAAACTGGAGACCTCCCTGGACCCTGAGCCTTCGTCTGAAAGAGCTGCCCCTGAAGGCTGAGGTCCAGGTGCTGCCGCCAGTGCAAGGGACTCTCATACGATGCCCTGCATGGTCTTGGACCCTGGCAGCTGCGAGGCCACTTCCCTTCCGGTCTTTGGCCACTACCGCTTGGCTCACCTGTTCAGGCCTTTTGCAGCGCCACCCTGCACACAGGCCCGGTCAACAACAGCCTGCCTATATGTCCTTTCCCTGTTGTGGGGAGTTCCACAAACTTTGCAAAAATGCAGTTGTTCAGGATTGCTTTATGGGAAGGTGATAAGGCTACTATCACAGGCTGGATAGGCTGGGGGCTGGGCCTGGAAAGCCAAGGAGCCCAAAGTCCTCATTTTCAAGCCTGCCACACGCAACAGTGATGGCAGCAAACAAGAGTACTTTTCTGGCACTTGCACTGTGCCCACCGAGACCCATGCTGCCCTGCCGTTTAGAGTGGCTCAGGGCCTTTCACCTTCAGGTCCCCAACAGGACTTTGAGCCCTGAATGGCGTGGCATGACAATATTGCAAGAAGCTTGGCTGATGAAGTCAGCAGTATTAAATATAGTTGCCGAAGAGGTTTCTGGGGTTTAACCTTTTCCCTTCACAGCTATTACCAACTGCCAGTGGAGGCGTAGGTCATTGGCTGGAATGGACAAAACATGCCTCCTAACAGGAGGGAGCTGTAAAGGAGGCTCTTATTGATCATCTGTTTAAAAGAACATCTCAAGACCTTTCCAGAATTTGAATATTTCCACTAGGGTTGCCAGGTCTGGGTTGAAAAATACCTGGAGACTTTAGGGATGGAGCCAGGAGAGGGCGGGGTTTGGGGAGGGGCCTCAGCACGGTCCAATGCCAGAGAGAGTCCACCCTCCAAAGCAGCCATTTTCTCCAGGGGATCAGCTGTGAAAGCGGGAGATCCCCAGACCCCTCCTGGAGGCTGGCAACCCTAATTTCCACTCCCCTGGCCTGGATCGCCCAGGCTAGCCTGATCTCGTCAGATCGCAGAAGCTGAGCAACACCCGCCCCCTCTCTTTTTGAAGAAGAAGAAGAGAAGAGATTGGATTTATACTGTTAGATCGCACTAACAAAGACCCGTAGAGTGATTTCAGCTAGTGATTCAGCTTTATTCGAACAAGCACACAAACGCATTTAGGAATCAGAACAACCTAACATTGGAGCTGGGCTCCTTTTAAACATACCGGGCTAATATAGCCACGCCTACTATTTACATAACAACCAATCAGATTGCATAGATAAAGGCGAATCAGTGTCCTTCCCGCTCAGGGAACAGCTCTTCTGTGATTGGTCGCTGTTTTGAAGCGACCAATAGAATGTTCGCACTGACGGAGCCTTGGCCGGCTCGAAGCTCAACATGGGAAGTATATTGAGCGATTCATGTTATGCTGTTAATACATAACAATTCCTCCCCTCTAAGTTAAGGCAATACATTCACAACGGTATATACATGCATCATTGTATTTTCAGGCAGTTTCAAACAGGTTGCCACACTCATAGTCAGCTAAGTATGCTGGAGGTCTGTGCGCACGCTGTGACCTTCTCAGCGTGACAGGTCCATTTGGCGGAGCTTCTAACTGGGGCTCCACAGACCCTGAGTCAGGCGCT